TGCATGTGGAACACGGTATTGGGCCATGGAACCAAAAACACGAAGCATAGACAGATCTGGTTTAACTCCAAACCAAGCCTCATATGGCGTTACACCATCCGGTAAGGGCCTTGTGGGTCTCCTGTTGCAAACATAAATTGTCATAGTGATTGCCTCACCCCACCAGAGCTTGTCAAGGCCTTTGAACTGAAGGAAAGTGGTAGTTATAGCCTGGATAGTGCGATGAAACCTCTCTGCCACTCCATTTTGCTGAGGACTATAGGGACAAGTGAACTGTTGTTTGATGCCCAATGCCAACAACTCCCCCTGAAACGCTTTCCCCATGTACTCACCTCCTCGATCCGACCTCAAGGTGAGTAACTTCTTCCCTGACTCTCTCTCAACAAGTGCTAGCCATTGCTTGAAACACTTGTGAACTTCATCCTTGGTGTTGATGAAAAAGGACCATGAGAAACGACTCTTGTCATCAATGAAAGACACCAAATATCTCTTACCGTTTCAAGTAGGGTCTCGCATGGGGCCGAAGACATCAGTGTGGACCAGCTCTAGGAGGTCCCTTGACTAAGACTTAGAAGGGAAGAATGGCTTTCTAGCTAGCTTACCTTCCACACAAGATGGACATGGAACGGAAGAAAGGGACTTGACTGCACTTTCACTCAAACTCAATCCTTCCACGCTCTTGTGATTTACCAACTCTTTCAATGCTTGCACTCCCACGTGCCCCAAGCGTGCATGCCATACCTCAGATTGGGAGATACTCCCTTTGTTGTTGACTTGATCGGTTGAAACAGCGGGAAGCGAGACAACGTCGTTCTTCGTGTTGCTAGCACCGCGCTTAATCTCCAACTTCATCTTGTAGAGCCGCCCGGTACGCTCGCCTTCAGCCACCAGATTTCCTGCACTGTCCCACACTTTGGCTTTCCCCCCTTGCAAGAAAACGGAGGCACCTTTCTCTTCGAGTAGTCCGGCTGAGAGCAAGTTTGCTCCCAAATCAGGAACAAACAAAGCTTTATTGACACAAAATGACTTACCATCCTTTTCGAACTCAAGCTTGCCGACTCCTTTGATTGGTACTTTGCCAAGATCAGCAAGAGTCACAGCTTTTGAGTCATATGAGGGCTGAAAATCCTTGAGAATGGACTGATAGGGAGTCATGGTTTCAGAGCAGCCACTATCAAGAATAAACTCCTCACTACTAGTAGAGAAAACGTGCATGCAAGTAGCAGCGTGAAAAAGGACAGGACCATCGGACTCTTTGGACTCATCTTGACTTGTAGAATGACTTGCTATATTTGCTATGGCTGCCTTACCTTTTTCAGATAGTAGCTGAGGTGGGGGGACCCAATTAGGAGGCTTCTTAGGACAAGCATACCACGGGTGACCCCACTCATGACAACAAAAACACTCAAAATTAAACTTTTTAGCATTCGGGGCTTGGCTGAAATTATTGACTCTTGGCGTATTGACTCTTGCATTCCTAGGCTGGTATTGATTGGGAATCGAAGGCCTTGGCTGGACATAGGGACTGGACTTATAGGGAGGACTTGACTGAGGAAAACGAGAGGGTTTGTATGGGTTGGAAGGTGAGTGAAATTTCGTACCGTAGTAGGGTTGAGGGCGGTTTGGGCTGAAATTTCCTTGCCTCTGGAATTGGTTGCCATATCTTGTGGCTGCTGTAGCACTCCACGCACCTTCGTCACTCCGCTTGTTCCGTGCAAGGTCTCGACTCTGCTGCTCGTTGACAAGGGCCTCAAAGATGAACGCACGACTCTTCATTGATTGCGGGAGCGCTTGTAGTGTTGCACGGAAAGTGTCCCACTCCGGTGTAAGGCCGGTGAGGATAACGGTCTTGAAAAGAGACTCTGGAATCTCCAAGCCGATCGCTGCTGCTTCCTCCAACATTGCTTCAGCTCGTTGTAGGTAGGCTTGTGCTGATTCATCTTCTTCCATCTTCAGATTCATGAAGCGGCTCCACATCTCGGCTTGGCTGCTCTCGGATTTTGACTGGTGCATAGTCTTCAGTTGGCTCCATGCTTCCTCTGCACTGTTTGCCTTGGTAGAACAGGGCAGGAGCGACTTCAACTGCTGCTCGTGAATGCTATTGAGTAGGTACAGGAAGGCCTCCTTGTTGCGTCGTTCGTAAAGTCGTTTTTCAGCTTCTGAAGCATCTGCTGCTGGTTTGGCTGCTTCTCCAGTGTAGTAAGGCCACAGATCCAGAAGGGATGCAGTGAGCTCAAACTGAGTTGCCCATGTTGGAAAATCTTTGCCGTTGAACTTGGGGAGGTGAAGCTTAGGCATGAAGGAGGTGAGTGGTGAGTATAATGTTGAAGGACTGCCTGGTGCAACTGCTTCCACTAATCCAGTAGCTGCTGATGTTGACTCTGAAGCTCCTCCGGCTGGCTGGAGTGCAGGACCAGATGAATTGTCTCCCGCCATGTTCGTATGGTGCTAGGATAGGAACGTGGTGGGCTAGGTTGATCGAAACGACGAGCTCTGATACCAACTTGTAAAACAGAGTAGCTGTGACTACTAGAGGGCTGGAAACTTGGCTGGAAAGTCTTTGCAGGCCTGCTGGAATTGACTGGATGAGGTAAAACTTCACTATGTTCAAGATTAACAAGCCCACTAAAGCACAACTCTATAGGCATCACAAACAAGACAGATTGAAAGCTCAAACTAGGCTGATAGACAATGTAACTTCCCTGGTAACTTGGGCACAATCTAGATTGGATGGACCTTGAGTGACTTTGAGTGCCACATGAGGTTCATGAATAAGAAAACTCTGGATATTTCTGTTATAGCTGATTCTGATGTGTAGAAACCTGTAGAAACTGCCAACACTTCGGTTTGAAGGTAGCTTTGAACTGTATCGAGTCTTCGGCTGAAATCTTATTGGTGGTGGAACTTTCGAAGTACTTCCCGAAGCCTCTGATTCATCGCCGACATTCCCCCTTGCTGCTGCTTGTGTGCAAAGGGCTGGGGCGGCAGAAACTTGATTCTCCAACAGTTCCACCTTACCTAACTTCAGCTCAGAAACTTCTTGTTCCTCAATAATACGCGCGCGCAACGACGAGAATAGTTTAATTGTATTAATATAAGCGATAGTGATGGTGGCATTGATCTTCTTCTGTCGAAGAGACATATGTCATGTATGTCATGTATTCGCCTTTGTAGTATCGAATCAGCTCCGCCACTAGCAGCTAGGAAGCCGTTGGGTATTATCCTAGAGCAGATTCACGTGGTATCGCATACCTTAAGGCCGCGCGCGGCGGAGTTCTCTGTCGCGCAAACAATGCGACAGAACGTTCTCAGCAGCAAGAGAGTCGCTCCCAAGTTCCGTATCGCGTTTTGTTCTCATACGCCTCGATTTCCTTCTTTCTCGGCGGTGCCTTGAGTCGACGCTGCTGCTGCCTGTCGCATTCCTTGCTGCGACTGGGATCAATCCCGGTGCACGGGGATTCGTAGTTTCACCAAATGCCATTTCCGCCTGTTCTAGTTCCCTCACAAACAGAACGGCAAAGGTCACAGGTCTTCTCTTGTCGGTCGCTGTCGCCTGTTCAAGTGAATCGCCATTCGCGTCGGTCGGAGATTTGATCTATCCGACCACCTCGGCGTGCATTTCCGCCGTCAATGCTCCGCTTGAGAAACCATGGCGGCTCTTTTAAAGTCCTAGACTGGCGGCGTGCAATTGCCTCAGACCCGTAAGCCTGCTGCTCAAGCCTCCTGCTCTTTGTGATGGCATCGTAACCTCAATAGGAGTGTCGTGATATGACCTCATCTTTAATCCGCCTACAGTTTTTCTAGCCCATGTTATGAGTATTACATTACATGCCTTCCTTCCTGATTGCAGATTCTGATTTCTTATTGGTCCTGTTCGCACATACGCAGATTTTCAACTGATTGTGGTCATGACAACGGGGAGAGACTGGCAGCAATCCGTGTTCGCGAGGTTGCGAGTAAAAGGATGGGTCTTCTGCTGGCAGCTTGGGGACCGAGAGTGAAACCGCTGGTTCTGCAAGATGATTAGGTGAGATGTTGGCAAGATCAGTGACCTTGTGGAAGCACAACGGGAGAAGGATATGGGTAACGGGATTGGGAAAGAGAAGAGAAAGAGGAGAGGGAGGAGAATGGCGGAGGCAGCGTGCGCTGTGCCAGGCGGCGAGACGGGCGGCAGGGGCACCGCCAACCTGTGCAAGCGGTGCTGGGCAGCAGTGGCGGCGGTCGGGAGTGCGGGAGGAGGGCGGGAAGGAGGAAGAGAAAGTGGTGAAGGATGGGCAGCTAATGGGGCCGGCGGAGGATTCGTTTGGCGTTACCAGCGATGGGCGGTGTGCCGTCGACAAGCTGGATGTCGCCACGTTGAGAGATGGGTATGTGTTGGTGAGGCGAGTGTCCAACCAAACGTTGGCTTGGCTACCTGCGCACGATCAGTATCAAGTAAGAGGACATGGGCTATTCAAGATCTTCACAACCAAATTGCGGGAACGCGATATCGTCGAGCTGACTATCAGATCTGTGGCGGTTCTCCCTAAAGGTGCCGTGCCAGGGATGAGGTCGCTGTGAGGATGTGTGGAGCTAGTCGGCCAGCCCTGGGCCCCCCGGCCATAGAGCTAAGTTGCGGAAGACGCGTCTAGCGCCTTAGATGTGTCTAGCGCCTTAGATGTGTCTAGCGTCTTAGACGCGTCCGTCTAGACGCAGTGTCTAAGACGCTAGATGCTAGTGAGGCTGGATTAGGCGCAGTACTAGACAAAAACCCGGGCAAGCCTAAATAAAAAGTTCGGGCAGACCAAAAAAAAGTGCTAAGGGGCATGGGGAGGGTGGGGAACATGCACCTATGTCACAATGGGGTGAATTTTTCCCCGTACCATAATTTTTCCCCCATTCTTAGACTTCACAAAAATGATCACATATCATCTTATATAGTTAACCTTCCATGTCTCTCTAGTAGTAGCAAACTCGAAATACATTACTACTACTACATATCTCAGCAATCACTATGCCTCCTAGCTCTCCTCCTCCTCATCCTCCTCCTCCTCCTCCTCCTCCTCCTCCTCCTCCTCCTCCTCCTCCTCCTCCTCCTCCTCCTCCTCCTCCTCCTCCTCCTCCTCCTCCACCTCCTCCTCCCCTTCCTTCTCCAGCTCCTCCTGCTCCGCCCACTCATCGAGGCACACGTCGTCCTCGTCCGCCTCCACCTCCCCATCCTCCTCCAACTTGTACCCCTTGGGGATGGGAGGGGGGGGAATGTTCCCCTCCACCACTGCACCCTTCCTCCCCACCACACTAGGCCCTGCTTCTGCATCCTTGTGGAAGTTGTGCACAACATTCGAGTTGTGCGCAACGTACACAACGTCGCGCACTTTCGCCGACCAGAGCCGGTTCCTGCATGTCGTGTGCATGCCATCCCATGTAGACCAGCCCCGCTTGCACAGGGAAGCGGAAATGGCCTGGGACAGCGTGCGCCGCGCAATGCGCGCCAGGTCGGCGTACTCCCATCCATTGTACTGCCACCACAACATCACGTTCCCCTTCCCCAGCTGAATCTCCCCACGCCCACCGATCGCGGTCTGTGTGTCGAATCCTCCTTCGCCGTTGAGGTAGGCCGTCACCCCCTCATGCAGCGGCCTCACCGGTCCCTTCTTGCCGCGGCTCTTCTTCCAGTACCTGTCGACGAACGCCTTCTGTCGCTCCAGCCACTCCTGCATGACCTTGGTGCACTCCGCATCCTGCAGAAATATCCTCTCCTCCTGGTTTGCCGGGTACAAGATCCGGCCTGCCACGTGGAGGGGGTAAGCTAGGCTCTCGTCCCAACGCCTCCTCAAATGCTCCCGCACCTTCTCCTTATCCGTCTTGCTCAGCTTGCACTCCTTCCCCTCCAGCAGCTTATCCATCTCCGTCAGCTGCAGCATGATATCGTATAGCTGGCCTATCATCCCCTTCGCCGCTGAATCCGTCCTCCGCATCACGTTGTAGAACAGCTCCATCACCTGCAGAAAGACGTCCACCTTCTTCCACCACCCCTGGTCCATCACCCAACCCTCAAAATCCGCTCCTGTAAGCGTGCTCCCTCCCCTCTCTGGCCAATCCTTGTGCGTCACCATCGCCGTGAGCTGCTGACGAACGTCGCGCAGACGAGACACTGCAATGAACTAGGAAGGCAACGGCTTAGTGCGGAGGAGCTTCTTAAGGCACAGGAAGCATGGGACCGCAAGGACAAGCAAGCGTTCCAGTACCTGTGTTGGGCCTTGGAAGGCCAACTAGAGCTCCTAAAGATGCTGATTGACCTGAAGGGCAAGCAAGGAGCAGCTGCACTAGCATGGAAGAGAGTTCAAGATCGACATTTGCAAAAGGGGTTGCTAAGCATACTCACCTGGAGGAAGCGGTTCTACACCATGGAACGCAACTATGGCGATGGGGAGACCATGGTGCAGTACCTCCAGAGGGTGGATGAGTGTGTGAGGGCATTGGAGGAGCTGAACTATGAAGTAGATGAGAAGGAGATCATCTACACCGCACTCCAGGGGCTGGACCAAGAGGTGAACGAGGCCCTACTGCAGTACCTTGACCTTGAGCAACAGAAATGGACCAAGGCCTGGATATGGGAGGTGCTGGTCTCTGATGAGGCTCGCAAACGGGATGCTGGTAGAATAGTTGAAGGGGGAATGGGGGCAGGGGATAGGGCTGCCTCCAAGAAATACCAGCAGCGGCAAGGAGGTGGGGGGAAGAAGAAGGAGCTCGACAAGTGCCTCGTCCCTGGATGCAACCGGAAGCATTCTTGGAAGGAGTGTTGGAGCCGTCCTGATGGGTGGAAGCCTCAAGGGTACCCACGAGAGGCTCCACCTGTCACTAGGCCTGAGTGGGTGGAGAGGAGGATGAAGAATGGAGCATGGAACAAGAAGGGCAGCAAAGAGAAATCGGCAGCAACGGCGGCAAACAAGAATAAGAAGGGAAAAGAGGACTCATCGGATGATGGTTTCTCCTTCTTATCCTTGGAGAAGGAGACGGTGCTTGCTGGTCGTGTGTTGGCTGACCCCAATCAGCTCATTCTAGACTCTGGGGCAACCTGTGGAATGGTACCTCGGCGCGACCTCTTCACCACATATCACTCCCTCCCACCTAACTCTAGAAATGTGATTGTGGGGAGCAGAGATACGCTGCAAGCAATCGGCATCGGCACCATCACCGTCATGGGGAAGGAGGGGGAGGTGCTGAATGTGAAGGGTGTGCTTCATGTTTCTGATTTGGCAGCCAACCTTCTCTCATGCTCTCAACTTGCGAGGCAAGAATACATATGCACCTTCACCATGGAAGGTGGCACGGTTCGCAAGGGTGGAGCTGTGGTGATGGAGGCCAAATTAGAGAAGGGCCTATACCTTGTTCCAGTTTGTGTGCCTCAGGTGGAGAGGGCACATGGAGTTGAAGCCGAGGAAGCCGCTTGTAGCAGCCGTTGGAGGGACGTGGAGCAGGTGACGGCAGATTTGCTGCACCTACGCATGGGGCATGCAGGAAGGCAGCAACTTGTGGAGTGTGTGAAGAAGGGGGAGCTGAAGGGTGTGGAGATCAAGGAGGGTGGTGGGCACCCAAGCAAGTGCCCTGATTGCACGACCGGGAAGCTGCCAAGGACCTCTTTCCCTACCTCCACCACTCGAGCCTCCGCACCTCTTGAGTTGGTGCACACGGATGTGTGTGGCCCCATGCAAACACCGGATAGGGAGAAGGGCAGCAAATACTTCATCACCTTCTTGGATGACTTCAGCCGCCTAAGTTGGGTTACCTTGGTGAAAACTAAGGATGAGGTGGCCAAGGTCTTCAAACGTTGGATACGCTATGCGGAGAGGGAAGCCGGGGCGAAGGTGAAGATACTAAGGTCTGATCGGGGTGGGGAGTACATGGGGAAGGATCTGGAGTCTTTCCTTGAAGACAAGGGCATCACCCACCAGCTTTCAGTTGCCTACACGCCGCAGCAAAATGGGGCAGCGGAGCGGCTTAACCGGACCCTCATTGACCTTGCCCGAGCCATGCTTGCTCATGCGCAGTTGGACCATACTTGGTGGGGGGCAGCAGTGCAATATGCCAACTGGGTTAAGAACAGAATGGGCAGCAAGGGGCTAGGGGGCAAGAGCCCTTACTTCATGTGGACCAGGAAGGTGCCTAGTGTGTCCATGGCACGAGTGTGGGGGTGCATGGCGCAGTACAAAGTGCCCGACCAGCAACGGAGGAAACTGGATCCTAAGGCACAATGGGGCATTTTTCTTGGGGTGTCGGAGAGAAGCAAAGCTTGGATGTTGTGGAGTGTGGCGGATCAGCGGGTGGTGGAAAGCAGGGATGTGGTTTTCCACGAGGGGCTGAGCTGTAAGGGGTGGAAGGAGAATGGTGCTAGTACAGTTGGGAGCTCCCTTCAGGATCCCTACACCTCTTCCATCTTTGAGGGGGCATGGGAGGACCCTGGAGAGGAGGTAGAGGAGCAGCAAGAGGAACAAAAGGCAGCTGCACCTCACCATGAGGAGTCACCAACTGCTGGTTCTACCCCTGACCCTAACGCACCAGCCCATGACCCGGAGCAGCCACAGGAGCAGCAGCAGCAACAAGAGAAGCCGCAGCAGCCACCACAGGAGCATACACCGCCCGTTCATGTGGGTAGGTGGCAGCAACTACTGCAGCAGCAGCTGTCCAAGTCACCACGGTCCCCCATGAAGAGAGTGACTTGGAAAGAGAAGCTGCAAAGTTTGGAGCAGGGGGAGGCTTCACCTCTGCGCCGCACCACACGCATCTCCCGGCCACCTGAAAGGTTCACACCAAGTCCACAGTATGCTTGCATGCATGATCATGAGGTGCATGACTTGGAGGAGTGCATGTTTGTGGATGCTGAGGGGGGTGAGCTTGGGCTTGATTTCTGTCTCATGGGTCAGGTGCATGAGCCCAAGTCGGTCAAGGAGGCCTTGTCCCGTCCTGAGTGGGTCGAGTCCATGTGTGCGGAGCTTGAGTCTCATAGGGTGAACGAGTCTTTTGAGCTGGTTGATCCAGCTTGTGTGCCACCTGGAATGGAGGTCTTGAGGTGTCAGTGGGTGTGGAATTATAAGCACATGGCTGATGGGAGTATTGAGAGGCCTAAGTCCAGGTTGGTGGCCATGGGGAACACTCAAACACGAGGCGTTCACTATGACCAGGTATATACCCCAGTGGGTAAACCTACCACCCTGAGAGGTTCCCTTGGGATGGCAGCATCCTCGGGGTCTCACATCCATCACATGGATGTGACCACTGCCTATCTTCATGGGGTCTTGAAGGAGGAGCTGTACATGAGGCAGCCCCCTGGTTTTGATGATGGGTCCGGCAGAGTTTGCCGACTCGGAAAATCAATCTATGGGCTAAAGCAAGCTCCAAGGCAGTGGTACCTCAAGTTTGACGAGGCGCTGATGGATTTTGGGTTTGAGAGGTCGGAGTGTGACCCCACCTTGTACCACTTGGTGAGGCATGAGGGCTGGCTGTCCCTCTACCTCTATGTGGATGACATTCTGCTCATGTCTTCGAGCATGGTCTTGCTGGACGAGGTGAAGGGTCTCTTGTCCTCTCGTTTCCGCATGAAGGACTTGGGGGGGGCTAAGTACTATTTGGGGGTGCAGATTGAGCGTGATGAGAGTGGCATCTTGATTCATCAGGAGAGGTACATTCTCAACATGCTTGAGTCCTTTGGCCTTTCTAAGGCTAACCCCGTGCGTACCCCTCTCCCTACAGGGTTCGACGTGCATGCACATGCTGAGGAGCCCTTGCTGCGAGATGAGTTGGTCCAGCTCTATCAAAGTATTGTGGGGTCTCTCATGTATGCAAGCACGACCACACAGCCCCAGATTGCTTATGCAGTGTCACAGCTGTCCAAGGTGGTGTCTTGTCCCAAGGCATTTCACCTGCAGGCTGCTAAGAGAGTGCTAAGGTACCTGAAAGGTTGTGTCAAGTCAGGTATATTCTACCCCGCACACAGCAAGCCTCAGGTTGAGTTGGTGGGCTTTAGTGATGCTGATTATGCTGGAGATTCATCTGATCGCAAGAGTCACACCGGCTATGTCTATTGCCTTAATGGTGCAGCCATCTCTTGGCAGAGCAAGAGGCAGCCGGTGGTTGCATTGTCTACCACTGAGAGTGAGTACATCAGTCTGTGTCAGTGCATTCAGGAGGGTGTGTGGCTGAAGCGTTTGTTTGGGGAGTTTGGGCATGAGTTTGCTGGTGGTGTGCCTGTGTTTGTGGACAACCAGTCCGCCATTGCCCTTGCACAGAATGCATGCTTGCATGGCCGCACCAAGCTCATGCAGGCTCGGTGGCATTTCATCAGGGAGATGGTGGCAAGCGGCGAGGTGATCCTCCGGTGGTGCCCAACCAGCCGTCAAGCAGCAGACATACTCACCAAACCCCTTCCTTTTGAGCGGCATGGTGTGTGCATGTCCTTGATGGGGATGCAGCCCCATGTCAGCATGGTGCCTGAGCAGGATGTGGGAGGACTGGTGCTTCTCTGCCTTGACGACCTCATGCGGTGGATGGCGCCCCTCCCTGGGCAAGGGGGGGTGAAGTGAAGGATTTTGCCCAGTGGTGTTCAGCCACCTCCACCACAAGCAAGGGGGAGTGTTGATTGTGTAGGTGGTTGTGGTATTTTGCTCTAGCTGGTTGTGGGCTAAGGGTTTGGGCAAAATGTGGTGGTTAGACTTGTTGCGGGCTGGAATTGATCTCGCACCCAACAAGCACCAACAAACCTTTGCTATTCACTACAACAGCTTTGGTGTTGCTAGTTTAGCACTGTGGGTTGTTGGGGATTGTTGTAGGGCGAGGGTTGGGTTGGTAGGGTTTGAACAACTCGTCACTTTTCAGATCTGAACTCTTGCTAAAGCCACTTTCTTGAACTAATCCATGGCTGCCTAGTAATTCCGCCAGGATACACCGTCGCACTTCGCGATATCGATCGGCCTAGATCTTTGTTGAAAGCGTGCGTTACTATTCTCGAAAGTAGAGATTAAGACCTTTCTAACGCGTACCTGCTCATAGTTTAAGGTTACGTGAGCTGCACGCAATGTTCCGTCGAAGTCGGCGGAAATCTCTTGTACGCTCTCCAGATTCGCTCGCTTTCCATCAGGCTGCAGCTATGCAGGTGGTAGAGGGGTGAGAGGGGAAGGAGAAAAGACGAAAAGGAGCAGAAAGGCAAGGATGCCAGACGTAGGAGTGTGGGTAGGAGAAGGATTGGGTGGAGCTACTGGAAGAAGCAGCGGGTGTGGTGTTGACGGGGCAGGTAAGGTTGTTGATGATTGTTAGAGAGCTTGACGGTGCATGGCGGGAGGAGTAGCAGCGGCAGTACTGGAGTGGTGGTCGTGAAGTTGAGGAATTGGAGGCGATAAGGGGGCAGTATGAGTGCATGAAGGGCACGGAATGAGTGGAGATCGCTGGCTCACTTAATTTGGGCGAGTGATGCCACTAAAGAGTCATTCAATCAAGCACTACTGTTTGAATCAGCCTTTCCAGCCTTTATCTCTATCTGAGTTCCTTGATGCTGAGCATTCTGATTTGTGCACTGACTTGTCTTTGTCACTTCTTTTTTCTGCTTCTAGCTTTGCTAATTATCGCATCACGTTTGTTTTTTGCAGCAGCAGCTATTAGAGGATCCATCTCTCGAAGCAAAGAGGTGAGTGGGGGAATGTATAAGTCAGCTGCATATGGTTGTTTTTGCAGCACAGTCAAAGAGGGATGCGAGAGCGACTGCCACGACCTACCATAGCTGGACTCAGCAAGATGAGGGTGCTGTGAGGTGTAGCTTGAGCTGCTCTGACAGTGTTGATAGTGAATTTGTGTGTGCATGTATGTCTGTATGGTATGTTTATCATTGCAACAGAGAATATCTCCACTTGACCCCTCCCCTACACCGCGCTATCCTTTCCACCCCCGCGCTATACTTGCTCGAACTCCCAGAAAGCCATTTTGAGCCCATGTTCTTCCTCTCAATCTTCTTTACGTATATCTTGCAGGTGCGAGAAGCTGCCTGTACAGGCTTCAATTCCAGTAGGAAGCTTGGATCCTCTTCCATGTGCAAACAGATTCACAGTCAGATGCGGAAATTCGTATTGTAACGGGCATGTTTGACCAACATATCATTTCATTCTCATGTAAGACTGAATCATTCTTTATTCCAATCAGTATTTAGCTGAACGTGCATGGTTACAAGCTATCAATAGCATGTGTTCCAGCAATAAATCAAAATGTGCTCTCTGCCCCTGCTACTAGGATGAGCATCCAAATCTCCAACCGTAGTTTCCATCAGTCAGAGCTAGAATATACAGCTGTAAGAGTTGTTCCCCCCCAGGCAGACGAAGCTTAATCTCCATGCAACTTGTCACACCCATCAGTATTCAGACTACCCAGTAGTTTCAGCTCTCCCAAATCATCTGGCAGAGCCTCCAGCTGCTTGCAGTCCCGCAAGTCGAGGTCCTGCATCCGGGTCAGCCGCACAAAGTTAGAGGGAAGAGATTGGATGCGGCTCTTGGAGAGCTGTAACTTGCAGAGGTGGGACAGCTGAGTGAGGGCAGCGGGGAGATGCGTGAGAGCTCGTCACTTGGACAGGATCAGCTCGCATAATCTGGATAGTGACCCAATGGAATCAGGAAGTGAAGGAACCTTGGGAGCCCTGATCTCCAGGCATGTGAGTTTTTCTAGTGCTTCAATAGTTGCTGGTATTTCCATCAACTCAGGCAAGCTTATTTCCAGCCGGCGCAGCTCCTGCAGGGTGGAGCTGGAAAAGTCCGGAAGCTTCAAGAATCCAGTGCTTTCAACTGTCAAGATGCGGAGGTGAGGGAGGCCCGCCAATGGGAATGGGAATTCCTCCTCACATGCCAAGACCAAATGCAATTCCTCCAGTAAGAAAAGGCTTTTGGACAATGCAGACGGAAAAATCACCGTGTTCATGCTCACTTTCCTCAGGCTTGGAAGAGTGTAGATACCCGGTAGATGGATGACCTGATTTGAACTCCCCAGGCTTACAACCTCCAGCAAACCCGGCAAGAATTCCGGAGCTCTCCTCAGCTTCCCACACCTCCAACTGCTTCAGCCTCGTCATATTCATCAGATCCTTCGGTAACAAGAAAAAGCTGCTGCACTTGTCAAGCACGAGGATTTCAAGGCTCCCAAGGGCTGAAACGGACTCCGGGAGTTTCTGGATCCGCCAGCACGAGAAGAGGTAGAGCTCCCGCAGGCGTCTCAGCTCCCCCATGGCCTCTGGCAGCTCCGCCAGCTCGCACTGCTGAAGCTCCAGCCTTGTGAGCGATGCCAGTTGGACGAACGAGGATGGCAGCTGATGGCGTGTGCGATACATATTCAGAAAGAGGGTCTCTAGGTTGATAAGTTCTCCAATGTTATCAGGAAGAACCAGGAAGGGAGAGCCGGCGAGGCACAGGGTCTTGAGTGAGGTGGGAAACTTGAGCGGGCCTCGCAACTCGTCACAAGACGTGCATTCTGAGACCACCAGCGTCTCTAGGGATTGCAGCCGGCTGCACGAGGCAGGGAAGTTGAGGCTGAGCTTGTCCAGCACGAGCGTTTTCAGAGCGGGCATCTCTCCGAGGCTGTCAGGAAGGCCAACGAAGCTGCAGCCGGAGAGGATCAAGCTGCGCAGGCAGCTCAAGGAGGTGACCTGCTTGGGATGTTTCATAAAACAATCGCTGATGCTCAGCTCCCGAAGAGATGGCAGGCGATTGCTGATGTCGTCGGGGAGATTCGCAAGGTCGTCGCACTGGTTGAGCGAAAGCCGCTCGAGGAGGCTGCAGGGCGAGTCTGAAGGGAACATCACATCGAACTGCGGACAGCCATACCCCAGATCCAGCGATCTGAGCGAGGAGAGATGTGCGAACGAGAACGGGTGAGGAGGTGTGGCTCTTGAAGATAAGAAGACTTCTCTCGGCACGGAAAGGCACGTGAGGCTTGCGAGCTGAGTCAGATTTTGCAGGTCCTGGTAATCCCAAATGAGTGTGTTGATGGAGAGAGCTGCAAGAGAGGAAAAAGCCTTGACTTGTGGTGCCGTTAACGCGGACAGATCGGCAAGCGCGAGAGATCGGAGACGCACGAGCTGGTAAATCGAACCTGGTAGCCCGAAGTCACTATGCAGGCAGCCCAGCGACAGATGCTCCAGTCGCGTGCACTGGCGAAAGAAAAAATCGAAGCCAGCTCGCGTGAGAAATCTCTCTCCCGGCTGCTGGTACTCCTGATTCTGCACGATCTCATTCTCGAGGTGGAATGCCGTCAGTTTAGGGCACGAGGCAGCGAGGCGAGCGAGGAACGCGTTGTGGATGGGCCGCGCGCTGCCGTCGCTAAGGTGGAGGTGCGTGAGGTTAGGGAAGCATTCTACTGCCGCGTCGAGGTCCTCGCAAGAAACGGCGCAGTTTTTCTTAACTAGGAGTGTGGAGACGTGGCGCTGGGCTAGGCGACGCCAGCGTCGGCAGATCGACGCGAGGAGAAGATTGTACGCGGCGTCGGCGAAAGCTGGAGGTAAGTCGGGAACTGGAAACACTTTATCGTTCTGCTGGTAACATGGCTCGTCTGCGTTTTCGCGAAGGAACCTTGGGGAAGGCAGCACTGAAGCCCATACAGCGTCATCGTCAACAAGGCGTGAGGAGAGAAGCTTGGAGGGCCAGAAGATCGCAGCTAGAAGCTCGTCTGGAAAGCTATTGATGTGCACGCACGCCATACCCCAGCTTTAAGATATCAGTTTCGAAATGCGCCTGCTTTTTGAAGTGGTAATAGAGAACGATGACTCCTGATAATGTTTAAATCGTGTTCTCTGGTTTCAATTTCTAGCTCTCTGCTGTAAGAATGGTGGCAGCTGTCTGTCAGAGTTCCAGTTTCTCGCCTAGCTGCCTTCGCTCTCTGGTTCTTTCTCTGCTCATCAGCTCCTGCCTCTCTTCTTTCCTGTTGCTCTCTGCTGCTGTCTCTGGGCTGACGCTCTGATGAGTCTGTGGACATTGGTAGCGGCTGTATACCCTACGGATTCAGAACTCAGAGGGTAGTTTCGTAGCCTAACTTCCCCTAAAGCACGACGTGACTTTATTGTAATGTGTAAGTTTCCAACTTGCAATCTCTCGAATCCAAGGGAGAAAAATACTAACCAGTCACGATTAGCAAACATGATGTGGAAAATATGGCATGGAGTCTCGGGTGTCTGGGAACCCCGACTAACCAAATCATCATTCGAATTTCGCCGCACATGGTGGTGGTAGCGAGAGAAATGGGACTGCAATTCAGGAGGTGATTTGTTTGGCTTGCAAATTATGCTCCAGGTGCACACAACATTTATGTCTAATTTGAAAGCTATCTACAGAAGATTCAACAGTGGTTGCGTTTCTGATTTCCTGCCAAAACGAGTTGGAGCACACGAATATAAATAAACCAGCACCCAAAGAAATCTACAAAGTTTCTTCCCGCCTGGCGTTGCACAGATATTAACAAAGCCATCATACTTACCATGAAATCTAACTGCTGGCTTTACAGGCTACGATGCAACCACGCATGAAATGCTCAATGAATAGTACAGTGTTTCTGACACGTCTGCCTGGCTGAGCATCAGTTTGCGCATAGAAGATCATGTAAGCTTTCTTTTGGGTTGAAAGGCCGTAACGACAACATCAAGTACCTGCAGCCAGCAGGAAAGGAGGTTAGGAGAGGAGAGGCAAGGAGAAGCAAGGAGGCGTGGAAAACAGATTGACAGAGAAGGCGGCATAAACAAAAGGGGGGGGGGGGGGGGGGGGGGGGGGGGGGGAAGGGGGGGGGAGGGGGGGGAGAGAGAATAAAGGAAAAAGGAGAGAGGACGGCAGAGTCATATTATGAGGCACCTTGAATGACATAAGTTTCGTCCACCATACGGTGGAATCAATGCCTTCATAGGAGCTTAGGGGGCAGGCGGTGGTGGAGCCGTGAGAATGTCAGGAAGCCGAAGGTCAAGGAGGGAAGATCTGACGGCGATATGGTGTTGTGTGGAAGATCTTCAGTAAAGGGAGTGGGAGGGGATGAGCTGAAAGGTGGTTTGGCATTGGTTGACGGAAATTCGGGAGATGCCGCATGGTGCAGAATGGTGTCAGTGGGTGCATGTCATGCCTTGCATTCTCTTTTGTTGAACTCGACAAAAGGGGGATGAGGAGGGTATGGAATAGGGGGAGGAACGACGAGTGGAAGGAGAACAGAGTGGGGGGAACACTGAAGGGAAAACAGATACACCTGACCTGATAAGAATCAGAAATTTAAGATACGAACCAAATGCACGTGACTCAATTCTTACTTACCCGATAAAAGCAGACGAAGTACGTTAAGAGCCAGCCTTACATGGAAAATGTCCATCAACATATCAGTATTTCCGTTCTTCCTGCCTCCACGGCTGCGTGGACCAGCAGTAGGGCTACCACGAACAGCAGCAGTAGTAGCAGTGCAACAGAGTGGTAGATGGAGCTGCGTGGCAAGTGGGGAAGGAGGGGATGGGGAGTGAGAGACGTCCCCCGCCCCACCTCGAGGAAGGCGTCTCCCTCCCCCCTCTCCCCCCCCCTCTCCCCCCCCTCTCCCTCCCCCCTCTCCCCCCTCTCTTTCTCCCCCCTTCCCCCCCCTCTCCCTCCCCCCCTCTTCCCCCCCTCTCCCTCCCCCCTCTTCCCCCCCTCTTCCCCCCCTCTCCCTCCCCCCTCTCCACCCCCCCCTCCCCCTCCTCTCCCCCCCACCTCTCCCCCCACTATCCCCACCCTCTCCCGGCCGTCTCCCCGTCCTCTCCCCCACCTCTTCCCCTCCCTACCGCCCCACCTCTCCCCTTTCCCCCTCTCATTGTACCTCAAAGAACGCGCCAGCGATCTCGTCTCCTCTCGTCACTTTCGTTCTCGATGCCCATCTGCCGCCGCCGCTCCGCCTCGCGCGGGTCCTCGATCACCAGCACCAGCTGGATCTGCGTGACGTCACATTAGCGCGGGCGGCAGGCATGCAGAAAATGGCGTGCGGCAGGGGGGCGAGGGAAGGGGGGGGAACGGCGAAAACAGGACAGCAGGCAGGTGGGCGAAGCGTGCGAACGGCTGACATTGACGGACAATGACGGGCACTGACGGACAATGACGAACAAAACACAGATAAAGAAGGCAACACGGAGCGTGTAGCGAGAGCTCGCGTGCACCTCTCGCGACGAAGTGGTACGAAATTCATGCTCAAAAGCTAAAGTTTCTTTTAGACGGCTGTTGCAGCTTTTCGTTTCTTCATGGGTGAACTCACAAGGCTAATACACGCACCTCCTGCACCGTCATGTCGCGATGCAGGGTACGAAATACAGACTAGGGTACCCCTAATGAACACAGATAACGCACCTCCTGCACCGTCATGTCGCGACGCTCCTTGAGCAACTCGATGGTCTGCCACGCACGCACACGCACACGCACACATGCACAGGCACAGGAATGGATGCGAGTTAGGCTTGAGGCATGCGACAAACCGGAACGATATAAGTGGCGAGAACGATTATTCGGTGTGGACAAGAATAAAAACGGTTGGAGGCGGTTGGAGGCCTGAGGGGCTCAGCTGAAGGCGCCACTAAGGAGGCTTCAACTGAGATCCCTTAGGCACGACCCTGCACTCGTAATCCCATCCTTCGTCAATATCTACGCTCGCAGCAACACCAAATGGCACGAGTCGCGAGTGTCGAGAACTTTGCGAGCGGCCTAAGCGAGCGTGAATCACCTCGAGGATGTCTTGAATGTCCCTCAGGTCCTCCGCCTCCTCCGGCGACAGCTTCTCCTCCCCATCCTTCCCCTCCTCCGCCGTCGCCGCTGCCCGCACGGACCCACTAGACGCCGGGCCCGGCTGTGGCGAGGAAACAGCTTGCTGCGATTGGCGGCGGCATCGGACGGCTAGCGATCGCCCGGAACAGAAAGCGACGACAAGATACGGGCGGTATGCGGCACGCCGTGATGAGAGGCGCGACTGAAAGAGCGATGGCGACAGGTGTGGGCGTGTCGCACGGCGATGGACGTCGCCATTGCTGACAGGACGATGAAACGGACTAAAATGAAGCCTAAGGGCGCGTGTGATCTATTTTCAAGTTCGGAAAAAGGTCTAACTTTGTGTGGTTACCAGCTTCGCTAATGTCGTCAGGAAGCTTTGGCAAAGGCATGAGAATTTCGGGGCACATAAGTTCGAATGTCAAATGTGAACTCAACTCGAATCACACGAGTGAACGTGCGGGTGCACGTGAGGCGAGTGTGTGTTCTTTTCAGCACGTACGAAGGCCATCCGAAAATCGCGACCGCTTTGCGAAGGTCGTTGAGCTTCGTTGTGCATTACGTTAATGTGTTGCGCTGTACCAGGTAACCTACTCCCCTACGGGCGGCTCGCCGCCATCCCTAAAAGGTCGAATCTCTGTGTTCGACCTTGGGTGTGTGATTGTGACTCGTCTGTGTTGGAGACCCAAGATTCGAACTTCGCTGGAAAGAAAGTCGAGTTTTGTTCAAATGCTACATTCGACCTAAAAACATAAACTTTCACAAATTTGTAAGACCACACGCGCCCTAACTGATTGGTTGAAGTTACAAAATGAAACCCTAGAAGTGCTTCTTTCCGCTGCAAGACGGACTGTTGGGCTGAGAGGGTATTCCTGGGGATGGCCTGAACATTAGCCGCTCCAATGACGTGTAAAAGTTGCCTTGTGCCGTTGGCAACACGTCCCCATCAGCAGTTCTCATCGTCGCTGGCACTGACCCGCCAAGTGTACATCTGCACCCGCGCACCAATTAATTTCGTGCGCGAACAAACGTCTGCGACCTGCTCGACGTTGAACAAGCCAGGGGACGCACCCTCGAAAATATTCCTTGCTGAATCGACGACCCTCGCGCGCATAGGGTATGCAGTGCTGAATTCCCTACCAACACAAACACCCGCTACTTCAATGCAACCATCCCAGGTGGATTTGTTTATTTCCTATCCCCCAATTGGTTTTGGCCCTCGTTCTGGTGTTTACAACTGTTGCACGTTGAGTCAACTACACTACTCAACACCAGTCGTGTGAAAACGTCGCACGGAGGTACATTGTTAGGCCAGATTCGTGTTGGTGGGCTGCCTCGTTGAAGGCACGTGGCCCCAACGCTCAAATGTCCAGACGTTTGGCGTTTGGCCATCCCCAGGAATGCCATCTGACAATGAATCTTTCGTGCTTCGGTGTTACCGGATTTGCACTGCTCGCGAGCAGCGTGCGGACAAAGGTTTGGGCAATGTTCGGCTGCCACAGGGGATGGAGGGAGGGGATGGGATGGAGCATCAGAACGCCAAGCCTCCTGGTTAGATCCGTTCGAACCAGGCAGAACACTTCGGTCAGACATGAAAATTGTGAAAAAAATGTCGGACGTGAGCCTAAAACGCGACGCTAACCCCGCGCTAGGCTTGAACCCACGTCGCGTCCTCCCCCCAATTCCCCCCCATGGCGGAAAAACTCCGCCCTAGTGTTCAGGGCATGGAAAGTGCATTCCCGTGGGTGGTCTCAGCCCACGGGGAATGAAAAATCGATGCCCCCTTCCACAATTTTCGTGTATACGTGTACTCCACACTCTAAAAAACAAATAACCCGGAAATTGAAATTATAATGCTAAACACAAAGATTTGAAATGAAGTCGCCAAATTTTACTAAGGTCAAATCGTCCTTTACACCCAAGAATTGATTAATGGTGTACAGAATTCAAGTGGAGCAAGCTACCCAAACAAATCGCAACAGTAAATTCGGGAAAACTGTTCAGCTTACGAAGTTTCGTTTCGCGCGGCTGCAGTTTCGTAGGCCCCCATTTCCCGAATCGCTCCTCCGCGCCTTTTCCCCCAAACTTTCCGCTTCCGCCTGGACTCCAGACTTGGAGTCAACGACGGTTGACTCTGAGTTGACCACCCCGAACTAGAAACCCTAGCTGCAAATCTGATCCCTCCCCCCATCCCTTGGTCGATCCCTTGTGGCAGCCGAACATCGCCTTGGAGGGGGGAGGGAGGGAAAGAGGGGAGAGGGGGATGATTGGGCGAACATACAAAACTAGCCAAGGCCTGCCTTGAGACGAGCGTTGGGTTTTGTGCTGTGGTCGCACTCTCCAACCGCACCGAACCATGCTGCAACCGAGTTTTGGTTAGCAACACAACATATACAGATGTTCTGGCTTTGAAGCCCTTCCTAAGAGAGCCTATTTTCCCCGTCGTGTAGATTTTTCATGTTTGTCCTAGGTGTAGCCCCTCCTCAACAGTCCCGTTTTTTTCGGGAAATTTTGCAGCTTGACTGCGGATCAGTTCCGCAGCCAATCAGAGGGCACAAATCGAACCAACCCCGGAAAATGTGAGAGAAGGAAATTTTGCTTCCATATTTACTTTGGAAGCTATTTCTGATTATTTCTCTTGACCGCGCTTGCTTCTAAATCCCGTCGAGAATTTCACGGCGCGCTCGACGATGACAGGCAAAAACGAACTATATTTCCTTTCATCAAGTCATCAAACATAACCGATTTTGTTTATTCTGCCCGTCTGTCGTGCAACATTGATCAACGGGGAGAACCTTGCGACGAGAAGTTGAATCAAGCGCATTCCGAATGGTACGTATATGACAGAAAACAACAACTAGTAGCGAAGCCAAACCGATTTTCATGCAATTTTACTGAAAATGGGACTATAGGGTCCCGTTTGCCTGGGGTTTGAAGGGTTTTCCACAAAGACCTGCAGCGCGTGTGTTTTTTACCAGGACTCTAAGCAAGAACATCTGTAATGGCTGGAGCAGGTTTGGCGGAAGGGGCCTGTCAGAACATATATGTAGCTTATGCTGTTGTGTAGGCTACAGTGGGGTATACCATAGGGGGTACAACCCAATTAGGGTTTTGCTATTTGTACTCACTTCACTCATAGTTCATTCATTCTCGTTCTATTTTCCACAGGGCCGTGCGAAAGAATGATCGACGTAGGCAAGGCAAGGCAACCCGCGCAAGCCCTCTTCATCAGAATGCTGAAGCCTCTCTCCCTCCTGCAGCATTTGGGCGGGTCAAACAGTGTACGCATTCGCAGAAAACCCTACCTAACCATTTGGATTTTTAATTAGACCGCTCTTTATCATATCGAAACCCTTTTCAAACGCATTCGGATGTACTCCCTGGACGCAAGTGCGAGCTGCGACATAGTCAAGCCACATCTAGACTCGAGATTGCAGCTGCTGATTGCACAGATCTAGCTAAGCATTTTGTCAGCTCTGAGATACACAGCAACATTCGCTTTTTAGCTGTGGCTGTCTTAGTCATGAAGAACACACGAAGCTGATCTTAAGTGCCTGCACTAGCTTATGCACGTGTATTTCAAGGTATGATTCTATCATACTCTCGTGGTTCAATCCATTTAGACCTCAGCTTCACCTAAGCTGCCAGTTGGTGCTCATGGCTGTTATCATGGACTCTAGTAGTGGAACCCACATCCACGATCTCCTCGACGACGTGCTCATCAGGATTTTGTGGCCTTCCGAACAGTCAGTCATATCTTCCAAGCAGTCAGTCATTTCGTGCAGCAGTCAGTCATCAGACAGCATCTGTGGAACTTTGTCTCGGCGCCTAGGTCTAATCTTCTCTACAGCTACAGGGACGCTACGCCAGAAGAGCGCTTTTACGGCCTAACTGACACTCCGATGCCGATCTCTCCTGCCTCCGCAGATGCCGCTCATAGCCTTTTAATCGCGTCCATCTGCCGTCGCTGGCGGCGTCTAGCTAAGAGCCATGTCACATCGCTCCTAGTCAAGGAAGACCTCGTCGTTTCTCGTCAGGATCTCCTCAACGCCGTCACGTGCTTTCCCAATCTGACCCATCTGCACCTCTCAAATAGAAGTGTTGAAGCTCTGGACAACACGTTTCTTGTTGATCTCGCTTCTTCGTGCTCTGGACTGAGAGCGCTTCATGTGGGGGAAATTAAACTATCTACTGACAAGAAACGACATATAAGGAGGGCCGACCGCCTGATAGACGGATATGGCTTGGATCATCTCGCCCGTCACTGCCCTCAACTGGAGCAGCTGTCGCTGTATTGGCTCGAGGACTTCGTTGATCCACCGTC